CCCAGCGAGCCTCTCAAGGGTAAAAGTATAGCTTGGTCCATGTCAAATGGTTCTGAGATCTCGAATCCGTCTGAATTCAAGAGAGTGGCAGCTGTTTGCTGACGATGCAGGAGTCCATCCCGTGGAGGCTGAATTTGCCCCTAGTGTTGCTTCTGAACACATAGCCCATATTTTGAATGTGAACACACAGCACACACTTGTTGAAAGTTGAACTCGCAGCTCAAACTTTTGAACTTCTGAACACGCAGCCCATTTTTTTATTGTGAACACGCAGCACACACTTGTTGAAAGTTGACCACGAAGCTCAAATTTTGAACTTCTGAACACGCAGCCCATTTTTTCATTATGAACACACAGCACACACTTGTTGAAAGTTGAACTCGCAGCTCAAACTTTTGAACTTCTGAACACGCAGCCCATTTTTTTATTGTGAACACGCGGCGCACACTTGTTAAAAGTTGAACACGCAACTCAAACTTTTGAACTTCTGAACACGCAGCCCATTTTTGAAAGTTGAACACGCAGTCCGAACTCTTGATGGTGAACACACAGCCCACAATTTAAAAGTTGAACACGCAGCTCATTCATTTCATTTGCACGCAGCTTATACATCCCACTTTGAACACACAGCTCACACATTTCACTTGTGAACACGCAGCCCACACATTTCTCTTCTGAACTCGCGGCTCATTCATTTTCATTTGCACGCAGCTTATGCTGAACACACAATTCATACACTTCACTTCTGAACACACATCTCATTCACTTCAGTTTGAACACGCAGCTCACATATTTCAATTCTGAACATGTAGCTCATTCATTTTCATTTGCACGCAGCTCATTCTTAATTCTGAACACGCAGCTTATAAATTTTCACTTCTAAACTCACAGCTCATTCACTTCATGTTGAACATGTAGCTCACATACTTCAATTCTGAGCACACAGCTCATATACTTCAATTCTGAACACACAGCTCATATACTTTATGTTGAACACGCAGCTCACACTGCAATTCTGAACACACAGCTCATATACTTCAATTCTGAACACACTGCTTATATACTTTATGTTGAACACACAGCTCACGTACTGCAATTTTGAACACACAGCTCATATACTTCAATTTTTGAACACGCAGCTCATAACATAACACTGCTCAATTTGAACACACGGCTCATAACTCAATAGTCTTTTAATTTTGAACACACAGCTCATTCTGATCATACAGGATGCGATGACGGAACTTACAGAAGTTGAAACAAACTCAAATGTCCGACATCTTCCTCTTTTCCTTTTGCTTCGAAGTTTGGAACCTATATAGCTTCAGATGGGTTCTGGCTTTACTGTTCCCACATGACTCGGGTTGAACCCTGCGGTCTTTTTTAAAGAACAAAATCTTGTTTTGCACAAATGTGGAGAACGACACGGCACTCTGAGCACAAGACAATTTTTTGAAATTAAGAAATGTGTTCTTAACTGGGTATTGAGCCTACGACTGAACACAGCGAAAAAGAATCAACAACGGAAAACAAAAGGTAAACAACCTGAACACAATGAGACACGCTCGGAAAGACTCAAGGCAAGAAACGAGACAAACAAAACAAAAAACATGACACACAGACATGTTACAAAGACGAGAGACCTCTCAGTACGCGAGGAGCCAGTTTCTTCGGGTATTGTTTCCCATCCTTTCTCATTTGTGATTCTCACATCACTCGGCCCTCAGGCTCTGTTTTTGCTGAAAAAGCCATTTTCCTCACTTTTTCTCTCAACGCACATCTCTCCATTCTTTAATCTCTCATTTTTTATCCCTCCCCTGGGCGGTTGATGGATGAACAGGAAGTTGCGGGCTCACGCCCAACATAATTAGCTCGCGACTATTTCCCCCGGTGACATCTGTCGATGTTCGAGATGAGGGAGTGGAGTGTCTTGATCCATTCCAATTCTTGCTTCGCACTCGATTTGATACCTCACTGCTTGGAGGATGAGAGAGCTTCCAGTTTTTTACTGATAGCTTCAGCTGTGCCGTTTCTAGCAGGTAGAGTGCCCTTCTTGGCAAGCATGTTGACAATGGGGAAAAGATAGAACACCTGACTCAACTGTGCCCCTAGTTCATCATTTTGACCATTTTTTTTTGGTTTTCTACTAAAACAATTTTGACCAATATGAGAGTTAGATTAACACACTTGTTCGATTTTTGATTTGAAATCATGCAAGTCAGGTTATGAGCACTGAAAAATTTTCCTTTTTTGGGTCCAAGAAATGGTCTAGTTTGGGAAAATGAAATAATTTTTGAGAAATTAGTCAACCTCAGTAAAAAAAAATAAAAAAAATAAAAAAAAAATTTAAAAACTATTTTTGCAAACGACCACTGCTCAACGAGCACGGAACCTACTCTTGAGATGCACAACCTCAGATCCGAAGGAAAATTGCCCCCGCTTGAAGAGAGCTTCATGGCAACGGAAAGTTGCCCCTTGTTTGAATGGCACCGTAGCGCATTGAACGGCAACGGAAAGTTGCCCCTTGTTTGAATGGCACCACAGCGCATTGTAGTCAGTCCTCAGAGCGACGAACACAACCAAACTCTCGGATACAGAGAAGGCAAAGATGATCAAAACCATTACATGGGCACAATCAATTTGGAGTGTTTTATGGCTGGACTTCAGAATAAAGTTGCCTACGTATCCCAAAGATGGGAATCAAGCCTTACGTAATTCGGGGTTAAGGTACACTCGGGTATTAACCTCTCCTTTTATGTTCTAACTTTTGCCAAGGCCACCCTTTCTGAGTTTTCAACCTTGCGAGCTTTGTCTTTCTTTTCTTTTCAATTCTTTTCATTTCTTTTCTTCTTTTTTCTTTTTCATCTTTTCTTTTCATTTTCTTCATTTTTCTTCTTTTTCTTCTTCTTCTTTTTTTTTTTGTTCTTTTTCTTGCTCTAACTTTTGCCTGGGTCGCCCTTCCGGGTTTTCGGCCCAGCGAGCCTCTCAAGGGTAAAAGTGTAGCTTGGTCCATGTCAAATGGTTCCGAGATCTCGAATTCGTCTGAATCCAAGAGAGTGGCTGCTGTTCGCTGACGATGTAGGAGTCCATCCAACGGGGGCTGAATTTGCCCCTAGTGTTGTGGATAGGAACTCGGTTGTCCTTCAGCAATGTCTTCTTCTTTCCTTCCTTCTGGGGTTTGGCATTCTTGTCGATCTTCGTTGATTTGTGGAACGATCCATCTTTGGCTCTTCGAGTACAATCTGGCATCTTTTGCCCCTAGTTCGAGTGGTGCTTCTGATCTAGCTTTGCAAGCTTCTTTTGACGACATCTGATCTTCTTGATCTGACTTCCTTGCCCCTAGTTCGAGGGTTGCTTCTGATCTGGCCACACAGTCCTCACATTGTGGTTGACCATTGAACATTCTGAATCTAAGTTTAAGTTCGAAAATGAGGGGTCGAGTCTTGAGGCTGAGAGCAATCCTAAGCCGCACAATCTCAAGAGCGATTCCACACAGGTCTTCGCAGGACCGCGCAAGACATTTTTTGAAATCTTTTAAGAAAGCGACTAGTCATTTGCGCTGAAGACAATGTAGAACCAATCTGGATCAAGCCAGGACCCTTCTCAGTACTCACATTAACAAGCATGATCTTATTCATTAAGGGCTTAGCACGCCTCTCTTTCTCTCAGTTGATCAAATTTTTACAAATCCTGAGGAATTCCTTCCTTTTTGTTTTCACCACAGTGTTAGAAAAAGTTTTAAAAACTTAGGTCAATGCAATGAGTTCAAGGCACAGAAAAGACACAGTTCCGGTCAAATACTGCCATCTCAATCAGAACTTCTGGCACAACTGGCACACGGCAGAAGCAAATACAAGAGCGTGAAAATTACCGCTGTTCCATTCAAATTTGTTGGTGTACTGGCTCCAAGCAGGAACAGACTCAAAGCAAAACGAAAAGAAAAACACAAAACAAAATGGTGATGCCCGAGGTAATACCGCCGGAATCACCCGACCTTTGTACAACAGGACTGACTCGATACAACAAGACAGACCCTTAATCAAGAAGACTGACTCGAGACAATGAGACAGACTCAAAACAAAACTACAAAACTGACTCAACACCCAAGTCAGAAACTACAAAACTAGCATTCGTAAATGCTCAAAATAGTGCGTGCCATACGCCACATCCGAGGTAAACCGCGCGCCGCCCGTAGGTGGTCGAACCCCTGATCATATACTTGCATTATCCTCGAAATCCACCAACCCGGTGGTGACAGACTTTGCCGAGCTTGGAGGGAGGATGACTTCATTGTCAATCAAATCTTGCACTTCGTGGCGAAGA